CAGCATTTTTTTGTCTCGGAAAGTGACGTTGCGGACCTTAAAACTCCGGTTTTGTCCGTCCACACGCAGTCACCCAAAACGGAGAAAACGCAGATCTTCACTTTGGCCGGAGTTTTTAAAAAGATCCGTTTTCGTGTGAAAAAACTCCGTTTTCGTGTGGATGACAGGCCAAAACGTAGGAAAATATCTACGTTTTGGCAGATCCCCGGCTACGTGTGGACAGGGCCTAGGTCAGACCCTCGTCTTGTCTTCCTGTTGAGTCGTCCCGCCTGCCGTTATTCACATGAAGCATCTCGTTGGCCTGCCAGTCTGCCTCCTGTTCCTGTGTTTGGCTCTGATTGCAATGACCACCACTTCATGACAGGAACAGATCATTTAAGATGTTTCAAACCTAAAATAATGTGATAAATAAAAGAAACTAATAACTTTTTTATCCAGATTTGGATCAAAACTGTTTTCTGTTAAGCTTGTTTGGTGTGAATTTGTTGCATTACAGGAAAAACAACGTCAACAGCGCCATTGTGACTGTTTGCTTTAATCCTGTAAACTTCTGCTTTTCCGCCTTAACTGAACCTAAACTCCACATTTGGATGCAGGGCATCCGTCGGACGGTGAATCACGCTGCAGCTATTTATTCTTTTGTTTTGAGGCCAAATCCACATTTGAAACACTTCATAAAGATTCTGCAGAAAAAGGAGCTGATGCATGTGGAACGATAAGATCACAGACCAATTTCATTTGAAGCAGATGCAGTCGGTCGTTATCACGTTCGTCCTTGCTCCCGCGCCTCCTTTAATCTGATCGAACTTTGACCTGCAGCATGGGGGGAGGCTCCAGTGTCCCAAAGACTGAAGGGAAAGTCTGAGACCTCTTTCAGGAGATTTTGATTGTTTTCACTTTTAGTTTAGATAACCGTCACTCAACATCCTTCAGCAGAAAGGTAAGACAGAAAGATGTGAGCACAGAGTTCGTAATAAGTCAGAATCTATCAGCTGTTGTATGACAGGAAGATAAGAGCTTAGAGCTCCTTGAAACCAAAACAGGTCAAAATCATTTTGGCAAAGCGGAAAAATAAAAATGTTAATAATTTTCCTCTCATTTGGATCTACAACATCATTTTATTTCTTTAAAATTAAAACTTTCTCATGAGGAAAACAAATTCATGCACTTTTTTATTTCTGTTGCAGCGAGGTGAAAAATAAGAATCAAAACACCAATTTACAAGATAAACTCATGCTTAAACACACAATCTACTCTGGAAGGAGATTTTCCTCCTGAACAAGCAGATAATCAACAGAGGAAACATGAAAGGCAGCACCAGGGTAGGCCACTGCATAGTCGGCCTCTAACAAGTTTAAGATGAGCGACCAGCAGCAATCACTTCAGAGATAATTAGAGTGGAGGCAGAGTGAAGAAAGCGAGCCATCCGTTTGTCTGAGATCTAATTAGGTTAATGCAAGTCGACGACTGTTGAAAGTTGATTGCTTTTCCGGTTTTCTCTCAAAATCACAACATCTGAAGTCTGGCTGGGAAAAGTGTTCAGTTGTTATGGAAACGGGACATTTCAATGAATTATGGTTTAAATTTTGACTCAGAAACTGTGTGTAGGTAGCCTGGCAAACCGTCCTATATTTGTGAATATTCAGTCTGGCCACGACCCGTACAGGTCAGTCATGGGGCGGGATCTACCGTTGTCTCCTCGTGTTATTGGACAACGAAAAATGTGACATACTCACCGCTATAAATGCCAACCAGTGGGGAAAAATGCCAGGCCTATGTATTTCCGGGCCTCGAGGGCCAGTATCCAGCATGTTTTAGTGGTTTCTCTAGTCCAACACACTAGATTCAGTGGTTGAATCACAGCTCATCAGGCTCTGCAGAAGCCTGTTAATCACCTGCTGATTGAAATCAGGTGTATTGAAGCAGGGTTAAAACCAAAACGTGCTGGATACCGGCCCTCGAGGCCTGGAGTTGAATAGCCCTGCCCTACACTGTCGAAGAAGTTGCAAATATGTCCTTTTACTAAATAAACTTAAGGACCTCTACCAGCTCGTGACTCAAAGACAAGCCTGTCTAAATAGTCAAACGTTGATGCCAAAGCCATTTCAAACGTGCCATCGTAGCTCTGCTCAGTCGCAGTAACGTACCACCCACCAAACAGAGAGCTGTGATTGGCCAGGGTACCAATGGAACATGAACATGTTCTGAATTTGTTTCTGTTACATGTGAAATAAAGGTTTATATGTGGAATTAGACGGTAAGAAACCTGAGCAGCCACTGGTCCTTTCAGTACTTTCATCATTGTGTTGGGATTCTGGAAGAATTGAGCGTAAAAACGTGGAGGAGTGATGCAGCACTACTCTTCTCGGACGCATCAAAGGTGAGACGCTTCTCTGCCAGCGGAAACATGCAACTATAACGGCGGCTGGAAGCTGCAAGCTATGCTTTGCAGACATTACGTGATGCTTTTGTGTCAATTGGAAAGCCGGGGTAAGCCTGTTTTCTCTGCGGTGTCCCACAAGGTTGTGTTTTAGGCTCCTCGTTGATTCTATACACTCCCTCCTCAACACACTTTGGGCCTCTGGTATTAGAAACTCCTGCTAAACTTATTAGATCTTTTGTTGGAATCTTGTTGCAACCTTTAACTCAGGTTTCATGCTGAATCTCTGGTTTGTTCAGGTATGGTCAACAGGTCCCTCTGTCTTGAGAGAAAACCTGCAAACTCCTAAACAAACCCATTTAATATCTGCTTAAAAGACTAAATCCTTCTTTTGCTCCCCTCTGACTAACATATGAGCATGTTTATGAGTTGTGAAGATGTTAAACAAATTCTATCAGATGACCACTCTCTCTTTGTGTTTGTTCCTTCACCGAGGGTTAATGTTTGTGCAGGTTGCCAGTGCTGCTTGACATCATAATGAAATTTAACAGTGATGATTTGAGGTTGAAGGACTAGATGAGGTTTAATGAATCACTTGCTGGAAGATAATAGCTTCCAGGGACAGTTATTAAAGACTTCTTAATGGCGACTCTAACCACAGCCGTTCCTACGCTGATGCAGAATAATCCCAGGTGGAAGGCGATCTTTTATGGCCCGATATGATATATGTCCTTTTGATGTTTGGCAACGATAGGCGTGTTATTCGTCAGAATGTGTCGGACATCCATGGAAATTACACCAATGTGAAGTTTAACATTTCACCAATTGTTATACGTGCTAAAAGGTTTGAGATAATTGAATGCCTAGCATCTCTTAACACATCATCTGTGGCCTTTAATGCCAGATTTTTTAAAAAGGGGAATCATTTTATAGTGTGAAATTCTGCACGATCTCTTAAGATGTTACCAGCTCAGTGGCCTAGAGGAATGAGTGTCCACCCTGGGCCTGGGTTTGACTCTCAGCTACTATGTCACCAAAGTTTAACTCCAGATTTTTAAAACTGACCATGTCACAGCTCTTTTCTGTTGGCTAAGATGGACGTCTTTAAAAGATTTGGGAGAGTACAGTTCAATGTTCTGCATTAGCTATTTTTGTGTAACGACCAATGAGTAAAAGAACATTAGTTGGCTACCTATGTGGCTAAGGTGAGGGCCATTTTAAATTGGATTGACAGGAAACATCCATTAGCTGTTTACGTAAGTGTCATCATTATTCTCTGAATGAAAATGTATTCCATGGTTTGTTGGAGCGCCACCGCCAGGAATAAAGCCATGAAAACACACCGCTGTGCTTCTGTAACGATGTGAGCAAATAAGCTGTTAGGTCGCATGTAAGTTTCACATGTATGAAATTACATCGCTGTAATACTTTTATTTTGAAAATCACCCGGGATTTTACACAGAAACCGTGTGTGATTTCCTGTCTAGCCCTATGTTAACTGCAGTAATTGATGCATCCCAGAAGCGGCTCGCAGAAGAAAAAAGTAGAACTCGATCCTACCTTTAGCGACGCAGCCTGCTGTGTCACCGTGAGGTTAAACAGCAAATATATTCTCAGCATAATGGATTCATCAGTTGTAGACGCACTTCTAATGAAGAGCGTTTTGATCAAATCCATCCAGCAGTTCCTGATATTTTGCCAACAATCACCCAAACACAAAAACATTAACATCTAACTTTTATCTTTCAGCAGCAGGTGAAAATTTTAAGATTTTAGGGGAATTTTACTAGAATTCATCAACTCCAACTAATCTTAATGTCTCCAACATCAGGGAAAAGGTTAAAGGTCACAATATAAAATGTTAACAAGAAAACTGCCTGAGAAAGGACTGTGCGACTTCCTGTCAGTGAATTCACAAGTTAACCAGTCATGGTGACATGCTGACAGAAACAAATACTCTAACCTTCTGTCCAGGTTGCTATCGGCCTCTGATGAGAAAATAAACACGGCCCAGAAAAGCTATCCTGCCCCGTCGAGACCGACACCAGGAAGCTGAAAAGCAATATCTTTTCTTGGAAATAACCTGGACGCCCTTGTCAGGCTGACTCAGATCAGCACCTCGAGGAATGTCTCACAATAACAGTTGCATCTTGGCCTGATGCCTACATAATAGAGGACACGTCAGACGGGGGACTGCCAGACATGCGGTGAAGTGGAACTAACACAGGAGGAGGAAGAGGAGGGAGAGGCGGAGACTGAGAGGTGATTTCTGAAGTGTGGGCTGAGTGAGTTACGGACCCGGATTCAGCCTGCGTGACAGCCTGTTGACAGCCTGCAGCTGCAGTCGAGTGTTTCCCCGCTGCCGCTGACGCTGAATGAAGCCACAAGCACTTTGAATTTTAATGCAGCTTGTTCTATTTTGAAGCTATTTTTTGCTCTTTTTAAAGTTTTGTGTCTTCTTTAACTTACTTTCAGGTAGACCGGTGCTCATACCACCGTAGCTTTTCACATCAAAGGAAATCCTCTCCGAAAAATAACAGAATTTATTTATTTATTTGTTTATTTATTTATTTATTTATTTATTTATTTATTTATTTATTTATTTATTTATTTATTATTTATAATCATTTCCATGAAGTTATTTTTATATATCAAAGAATAAATAATGAAATATTATATTTTTGTTGCATGTGAGTATCCATGTGCTTGAGCTAATTACCATCGTGCTGTAAAGCGCCTTGGGGGGTTCTACGATTCGAGACGGTGTTACGTGAAAACAGGCCATTCAGCTTTTTATATTCATCTAAAATGTGGTTATGAGGTAGTTCTAATTTTTATTTCATGAACCCTTTACTCATCACAGAGCTCACCTTTTACACCATTGTATTATTTTGAATTACCACTTTTAGGATCCGTTTGAACAAATAAAAATTACAGTAACTTATAAGGAACAGGTTGTTTTGTGTGTAGAGTTGATTGATTTAATACCAAAATAAAGTAAAAGTTTTTTAAAGTAAAGTTTCAATGAGAACCTGTCACGGTCTGCCCTGATCATTCCCAGTTACAGTCAATATGCTGCAGTTGTCCCAGGTTTGTGTTCACAGGTGGGCGTGTCGGTGAGCTCCCTGATCAGAGGGCCAGGGGTATTTAAGGAGCGGTGTGACACAACTCCAGTGCCGGTTCATACTCTCACCTTGGGTAACTACTAGCCAGTCGTAGTCTTAGTCTGCCTGCTCCAGTCTTAGTCTTGGTCTGCCTGTTGTCGAGTCCTGAAAGTTCCTGCTTGTTTTTGTCTTCAGAAAGAACCTACCGTCGCCTGGAGTAGTCTGCCAACGTCACGTCGCTCAAAGATCCCCTGGCCTCCGCTCTCCACCGTCCGCCCGTCGTCCTGCCAGCCTTCCAGCCTGCCTCTCAGCCAGCTTCCCAGCCTGCCTTACTGCCAGCCTTACTGCCAGCCTTCCAGCCTGCCTTACTGCCAGCCTTCCAGCCTGCCTTACTGCCAGCCTTCCAGCCTGCCTTACTGCCAGCCTTCCAGCCTTGTCGTGGATCTGAACTCCCGCCATTCGTCCATTACCGCCCGGTCCCAAAGACCCAGCAATCTCCTTGTTCCCAGACCTGACCCAGTCCATCCTCACCAGTCCTGGTCATCAACCGTAAGAATAACCTCCAAAACAAATCATATTCTTGGTTCTCTGGTTCCGGGTTTATCGGTTTGCTTCTCGTTTTAGATTCCGGTTCGTCCTGTTCCCGTTTGGAGCAGCGCCCTTAGTTTTACTCACCATTCTTAACAAAGATTATTATATGATTTTTGCTTACCCTTTCTCCGTAGCGTGATTCTTTCATGTCTTGGGTGAAACTGCTTCCCACAAACATGACAGAACCATCAAATATTTGTTACTTCACACGGCAACATTTACATTAATGGTCTTCTTTACCTTGGGTGGCGAGCGTGAAAGGCTCGTGAGTGGTTTCTCTAGCCAGGTGAGTAGATTGCATCTCAGCTAGTAGAAGCTAACCGTTAGCATTAGCATTTCGACAACATAATGGAACACACTCAGACTTGTGTTATCTGTGGAGAATAAACATCAACATTGAAGAGCGAATGAAGGCAGCGGAAGAGTCCCATTGCTGTCAGCCAATCAGAGATGATAAATTTGCATCTCATGAATATTAATGAGTAGAGCCTGGGGCACACCGGAGGCAGATGTGCCATGCAGCATCGCAACCGCGGTTTTGAGAAGTTAAATGGTCACGCTGAGCGCTTCTTGGAAAGTCTCGCGACATTCACAGCATCACGTGGGATTGAGAACAGGAAGCAGGAAATGACTGTATTGTTTATACTTGCTGTCGTGTTTTGTGAGACAAATTAATTCACAGTGGGTAAGTAATGCTATGCATTAAAACATTTTAAGATCAATAGTACTTTAAAGCGGTTGGGTTTGTGCGGTAAAGCCGTTCCGCATCGTAATGTCTGTTGTAAAGTACTCCACAATGCTGTAAACAGCCGCGACGCTTGAGATCGAACTGCCGCCTAACTTCAGCGCCTTGGCGTGGTGCTTCTGGGACGTGGCGCTCCCCGTGTGCCCACTCTCCTTAACTATAGTGGTTTCTATTTAAAATGATGGCACGACGCTGTGCAGCGCGTCCGCCTCCGGCGTGCCCCAAGCTTTAGACTCCAAGTGCTGTCGTCCTCCCCAGACTCATTTTACCTGCTGAAACAGGAGCGCCAGAGCTTGTTTTCCACTGAAAAATACTCACAAGGCATTCATACTAGAAGCCACTAACTAAAAAGTATTTTGCACTTTTTCTTTTATTTTATCATCCTAATAAATTAATAATAAATATCTTCTCCATCTCTGGATTAGAAGAACAGATTCGAGGGGAAAAAGCTGCCAAAGTACCTGAGATTCCAAGACGGTGATCGTAATAAAACAGGAGAGGAATTTGGGGTCATGCTGGAGTCTTGGTGCACCTGTGTTTTATTTTTTATGAGGTCAGTATTTGTTAGACCCAAAGGGCAAAGAAACTGACGGAGGATTAATACTTTATGAAACCTGGAGAAAAATCTTTATTTAGATCTTAACTATCAGTTTGCGGGCGTGGTTTTGTTTTCTGCTCTTGACTCTTTTGGGATTGCCATTTATTTTGTTGGCAGCTCTCTTAATCCATTTTCTGTTTTTAATTTTGTTGTATTAATCGCCTCAAACTGGATGTCTGCTCGAGCAAAAGCTCTCCTCTTACCTCCTGTAGATTAGCCTCTCTTCACTGTTAATCAGCGTTCCAGCGCCTGCATCATTGCAGCTGATGGTGAGGCATTAATGGAACATGAAATATTTGTTTTCTGATTAAATTTTAGTTTTTTAGTGTAATTTAGAGCTTTCTTTGCTTTTCACACAGCACTTAGAGAGCTAGCTTGCTCTTGATTGATGAGGCCTGAGAGTCCCCTGCTTGGAAAAAGAGGATGAAGGCAACCATAAACGATGGAATGATGCATTTAAGAGCTCTGGCTGGTGAGCTTCACACGCTGCTTTGAAAAGAACCTTATTTTTTATCACATATGGATATATTTACACATTTTTATCCACATGAAGTCAGCTTGTTGTGCTGCAAACTCGCTGTATAAAATGCAAAGGTCTATATTTCCAGTTTTCCTCTCTTGTCACACTCCATCCACCCACCAGATGTCCTCAGGCGACCCAGGACATTCACACCAGCTCATCCTCAACACCTGGTTCCAAATAAATCCCCGCAGCGTGGATTCCCACCACCTCGCCCTAGTAACTTGTCAGGTTGTTGTGCCGTTTTGTTTCCTTATGCTGCTCAGCACTTGCCCTCTGATAACATTCTGTCACTGCTTCCTGCCTGCTTGCTTGGTTTTATTCTCGGCTAAATAAAGCAGTAAACTCTTCCTGCCAGCCTGTTTATGTCCACCTTCCCTCCCAGCCTCACCTTATAAAAGCTGATAACAAGGCATGAAGACACAACATGTTCCTGTTTATGTCCGAACAGATTAGACAGGCTGGATTATGAGGCGTGTTGAGTGATGTCTTCATCGCAGCATGTGGTTAAATAAATAATGTTTATTTTGAACCAAAGTGACCATCTTTCTTCAGCAAAACTGCACAAAATACATCTTAAACATCAGGATTACTCATATTTTAATACATTAGTAGTGGTCTCTAGTAGGAATAAATGCCTTTAAAGTTGTTCTCCTTAGAAAAACGTGCCGGTGCACCGGTGTCGGTGCAGGATGCAACATTTTGAGTCAAAGAATGTATTCAGATACCAACTAAGGAAATATACAGACAAACTCCACATGAATACAAACAGACGTGGCTTCACATATAAGAACTGTTCTGTTGTTTGTCAGTCCCATGTTGGTTTTATGCAGTTTCACATTCTTTACAAAACAAAGGTAATATGGTGTTTTATTAACAAATTACAATCATAAAGAAAACATTTAGGTGTTAACAAACAAGAATTTATTAACAAAACTGCTGATGTCTTTCCAAAACGTGTGTGTGAAAGCCGAGTAGATGTGCAGTCATGTGACGTCATCAGCGGGCGCTGGACCCCGAGCCGATCCTGCACCCGAGCAGATCCTGTACCGACACCGGTACGAGGACGTAGAAGTCAGCCAGAGGAGAAAGTAGCTTCGATGGCAGGATTTGGGGTCTTATTTCCTGATATTTGGACATCTCATCTCTGATTGGCTAACATCAACACGACTCTACCACTTAATTATTTGCCCTGCAACGTTGATGTTTTATCTCCACAGTTGCTAATGCTAATGGTTAGCTTCTACTAGCTGAGACGTGTCTCCTGGACACTAAATCAATGACAGCCTTCCCTGTCGTTAGTCAAAATGGGCGAGTCCGTGAATATAAGGTGACAGTGTGAAGTAGATTTGTCTGATTTTGAACGGAGTGCTTTCCTGTCTATTTTCTATCAGAGGCGAATGCAGGAGATGGTGTAGATGACTATTTTATGTTCAGTCTGCATGAAAAACTCAGTGAATTATAGAAGTTGGCTACAAATGGGATTGTCAGTGAACCTGCTCTCCAAAGCAATGTTTGGCCCTAGTTTCTCTCTTTTTTCCAACCATCTCCCTTATTGATCATCTTTTATATTTTTTGATTATTTCCTGTTAAATTTTTTGAAATATGAAGCCTATTATTTGATTCTGATCTTATGTAAGTCTTGTAGTGAAGAAAAACAAACCTGGAATCTTTTAATGTAAAATCATTTGTCTTCGGTTTAAATAGTTTAAAATTATAAGGAAAAACAAAATTCTTGTAAAGAAAGTTTGATGTGGATCCCGAATCCTACTTTTAATGAAGCCACCTGCATTTTTCCAACTCCTAAACACAATCATACCTGTGGGACTGGTCCTAGCCCGAGCCCTGATCATTACCACTTCAGATAAGACACCAAGGTCTGTCCAACCATCGATGTATTGGGTTCCTCACACAGTTACTGGCCTCTGTCTTCAGTTCCTGCTCTCATAAATTCCTCCACCAGAACAGACATCCTGAAGGCCTGTAGATATTCCTTTTTGTTCAGCGACATTATTAACCATCACCCTGTTGAGATGAACTCAGACCAACAGATCTCTGAGTTTAATTCAATCTGTGGAGATGTCATGAACTCCCCTCCGACACACTGGAGTGTGAGAAAACCCAGAGCACAGTGACACCCAGCCTCTCATGCAGTTAAGTATAGGAGCTGAATGTCGCTGGAGAGGAGATAGGCTTAAGGTCTTATCAGAGACACTTTAAAGCTGCCTGACAAACCGTCAGCTGGCTATAAAACTTGCAAGAGCCAATTATTTTACCTCCATCAAACTAAAAAAAAAAAAATGTTCACAGTCCTATTGTCTTTTTTCCCTTCTTCTTCATCATACGTTTAATTCTGATCTCAGTCCTGCTGTCTCTGTGTCCAGACCTGCGTACCGCCATCTTGATCTCACATGATCAAATGTCCAACTCACCCCCACCCCCCCAGGTCTCTTCCTTCAAAATCAGCATGTGTTCCAAATGATTTATGTCTCACACAACTACCTCTCCTCTTCTTATCATTTCAATCCACTTTGGATTACATCCTCAGAGTAATTGAACAGTCACCCACTAATAAAATGGTCCTGTTCTGTTTAGCGCACAGGAAATGGACAAACACCTTAAAAGTTGATACGTTTGGTCTGAATAACAGTTTCAAATTAATTTCTTTCACCAAATTCTCGAAAACCTTCTGACAGCTTCCTTTATTAAAACATTAATATTAAAACATATAATTTCTCAGGTCTAACGTGACACATTCTGACCAGAACTGAAGCCTTACTCAAAGTCACAAATGTGTTACTTTAAAACTTTGAGGCTTTTTGTTCCTTCAGCCCTGTCAGAGAGCAGCTTGGCTTCCATAATTCTGTCTTCCAGTTGTTTTTTTCTTCGTAAATGTGGAGACTTTCCACCACTTTGTTGTGGAGTACCTCAGGGAACCATTTCAGAGCCCGTTTTATTCACATATTTACTTTCTAATGGAAAAATAATTTTACCAATTTAAAAAATATCAACAAGACAACTAGGGCTAGTGTTTTTCTGCCACCAGGAATAATTAAGTTAAAATGTGAAAACTTTGTTTATTAACCAATCAGCATCAACCAGCAGAATGAACTGAATCATCTCTAAAACACATCCAGACGGCTGCATCTTTAATCACATCTAGGCTGGAATATTCTGATTCCTTGCTTTGGTACCAACCAGTCTCTGTTGTCCCATCTGCAGCTGGTGCTAAATTCTGCAGCCAGACATGTAGCGTGTGCCAGTAAAACAGAGATAGTAATTCTTCTTTACTTGCCAGTGCCAGAGCCAGCAGCGTTTTTGCGGTGGTGGCAAGACAGAGACTGTGTCTGGCCATCTAAACAGACTGCTGTGTGTCTCAGTAATGTTTTTTCATGTATAACTCAGCTGTACATCCTGCGTAGGTCAAATATTAGCCTGTCTGTTTCAGCTAACTTGGCTGCCATGTTTAACTGCATCTTGTTTTGAAGTCATTCAGGCCATCATAGCACCAAAAACCCTTGTAATGGTGTAATTCTGACTTTTCACTTACCTGGTTTAAGTAGTAATAAATGACAGTACTTGTTATATACTTGAATGTGTACTTTTGTTAAAGTGGAACACTGAAGAACCATTTTTAAATTGATTTTTTCTGATTATATTTGGTCACTTTGAGTTTTTCATGCAGGCTGAACATGAAAATAGTCTCCTACACCTATCTACTGCATTAGCTTCTGATAGAAAATAGACGGTGAAACTCTAGGATTAGAAAATCCTGACAGATCTACGTCACCTGTCCCTTAACACTCATGGACTCACCCATCTTGACTCACGATGGGGAAAGCTGTTGTTGATTTAGCGTCCAGGAAACAGCAGAGAATGTCTCGACTACAGGGCTGCCACATGCATTTGACCCTCTTCACACGCTCTCACTCCAAACCTCCAACATCTCACGCTGATTAATCAATCTGCAACCCAACTTGCAACTTCCGACTGGCAGGCCGCTCTGTTGGGACTTAATTTGAGCTGACACACCTGGTGCTGCAGTCTGGTTTCAGCACGTTTCCTGCATGTTTTAGATCATGAACACAGCTGATTTGTTTAATTTAGTGATGCATCACTCCTGTAGACACTAAGGAAGGCTGGGAGATGTTTCAGCTGTTTGATTAGGGTGTTGACCCTCTGGAGGCGGGCGTTGCAGATTTGCAACAGTTAAAACCTACCTGGTTACTCCACACACGTGTTTCATGAGCATGTTTTAACTCAGAAGTACCCCTGAAGGACTTAGTTGTCCGTCCTCCTGTTATCAAACTTATTCTGAGCCTGAGAGGGTTTAAAAGACGAACACACAGCAAAGAGATTTTGGTTGCTTTAGGTTCTACAAACGGACACTAGGGGGCGCTGAAAGCAAGCTAAAACTACCTCGTTCCCCTTTAAATTTTACTTCAATGAACTTAGAAATGTTCCAGTGAAGTATGAAGTAATGCAATTATCTGTGTGTACCCTCATACACGGTCCATAGTATACTCGCTATACTTATACTCAAGCATACTTGCTAAAATAAACTTCTAGTACATTACCTTTTGCTAAGGGTTTATTAATCCGATATTTTTTATCATGGATGCTGCTGTGGCAAAGGTCCAACAAGATGAAAGTAAACAAACATGTTACATAATTTGAGGACATCGAGACACCGGGCTCGACAGAAATACACTCAAATCATTAGGGAGCTCTGGCACCCAGATGGGAAATAAAACAACACAATATGTTCTAGCAGATTTCATTTCACATCAGTGGTTAAAAGGAAGAACTGTACAAGCTGTGTAGCCAGAATCCATTTTGTTGTTTCATTTTATAGGTGTTAAAGTTGTATGGTACACGTATAGTCACAGATGTCCAGAGGTGTTCAGGTTTGTCTCCTCCCACATCAGGACAACGGCGGACGTAGTACAGGAACTCTTTTGGAATGTGCATGAGCCGGTCACGTCCTGCTACAGGGAATCAACACTGTGTCAGACTGCCTGGAGACTATCATTACAATTAGTTATCATTTTGTACCACAATCATACAGATGGAAGCTTTGCATCATTGACCCTGCAGCCAAGCACGTCCGTCAAATATCTTACTAAATGCCTCTCAGACCAGAAAATAAATCACTTGGATGACCTGATTCTGCTGCAACGTTTAAAGCCTCGCATCCTGGGGGGGGGGCAACATTTTCAGACCGTTTCTGTCAATGTACACAGACTTACATGGTCGCATAATCCTGTTTTCATTTTTTCCAGGTCATTTCTTATTCTGAGGTTTTTCTAAATGAACAAAAATAATTTTCAGCAGTAGATATTAAAATAGTGAGAAAAAGCTAAGAGGAAGTGTTTTTATTTTTATTTATTTATTTTTTAATGTGATTGCCAAACATGAGCTGGCGTGCACAGAAAAAGAAAATCTGTGCCACAGGAGGTTAGCAGCGCTCCTCTTCTGTCTCATTTGTGGCAAAGAAAATATCCTCCATAATTAGTGAGAGATCACTTAGGGGCCAAATAGAGCCACAGAATATTTTCTCAAACTGTAGAGGAGGCAGGATTATTACTGAGGAGTGAATTTTAATCGTATCAGAGCGCTCCGACTCTGATTCATCGTGTATTTGTATCCGGGTGTTCTGAGTGGTTTTAGTGAAAGGGAGGCACGGATTCATGTAGGGCACGTTACAATGTAAACTTACAAGATCTCATGCGACCAGTTAGGACTCTGAGTGTCACAAAGCCACAGTACAAATCTTTCCTTCTATGTGGAACAAACATCAAATTATCTTTTTAAACACTGTTGTAGGGGTCTCTGATTTAAATGAATGAGTTAATCTCTGTGAAAAAGTGGTTGTATGTGTGTGTGTGTGTGTGTGGGGGGGGGGGGGGGGTGTAACTGTCACAACTGTTTTCATATTTGTGGGGAAGGGATGGGAATATGGGCTATATGGGTCATTTTACTCAGATAAGCACTTTGAGCTGCATTTTTTGTATGAAAAGTGATATACAAATAAAGTTTGATTGATTGATCTACTTGATGTTTTATTTCCACAAATAACACAAGCCTGCAGGAGTTCTGCTGTGTGGTGGGGTTGCTAATGCTAACAGTTAATTAGCTTCTACTAGCCGAGACACACTGTGCTGTTTCCTGGACGCTAAACCAACAACAGCCCTTCCCGTTAAGCCTTTGTGAACTAAGATGCATGAACGCTAACTGTGACGTAGATCTGTCTGACTTTTCTAATCTGAGCGTTTCTTCGTCTACTCTCTATGGACGGCTAACGCAGGAAATAGGAGTCGACTATTTTCACATTCAGCCTGTGAGTTAAACTCAGAGTGACCGAACATAACAAGTATTTAATGCTCTTTTTGTGTTTGCTGGTGTTATAAAGCTGTGGTGGCCATCTAAAACTGCATTGGAAGTCTGCGGTCGACAGTTGTATCAGAAAATATCACAAATAGGCCAGAATTCCTTTTCCTTTATTCAAACCTGCATCACATGTAGCAGAAGCATCCATCTTAACTCCTCACTCCTTCTCTCCTACATATGTTCTTGTCTTCAATACTGCCCCCTAGTGGTAGGCACAACAAAGTGTGTTTCAAACAATTCTAGGCATGCATCCATTTATTTTCTGAAAGTTTCTGTAAAATCTGTCAAGTGCTTCATGACATATTTTGCAATTAAATACTAAACCAGCAAAAACACAACTGTAACAACAACACACTGAAAGCAAAAATCAACAACAAGTCATGGCTGCATTTGTTGTTTTTGCACTAAAATCAGAAATGTCAGAAAAAGTACCACAATTCTCGCAAAGCCTTTCTGCCGAGGAAACCCGACTTCTTCTGAATGAAGAAAACATAGTTTTTTCTTCAACATCCATAGGCGGAGATCCCAGGGGGGACGGGGGGGACACGTCCCCCCCATCTCAAAAAGTTGCCCCCCCCCCCCCACAAAAGTTATTGTAAACACATAAATGCTATCAGTAAACCTGTACTGTCTTCTAAAACCACAACGTAAAAGTTAGTCTGCAAATACAAAACAATGTGTTTTTAATTGTTGAGAAATTATAGTCCACCCCCCACCCCCCAATTCCTCAAGATGGTACGGTCGGTCCACACGCGCCGTTTCCAACGGGCGGGGCTGCTGGCTCTGCCCCGCTCACAGCTTCACAGCAGCCCGCAGGCTCACAAGAGGCGGGAATCAAAAAGCCAGCGGTTTCCAGCGGTAAGTCATTTATCACACGCTTGTTCTACAAACTTAAATATGTATGTCAGATGTGGTCCTTAATGCAGAGGTGGGAGGTAACGAATTACATTTACTTGCGTTACTGTAATTGAGTCGATTTTTTGCGCATTTATACTTTTTAAGTAGTTTTTAAAATCTGTAATTTTACTTTTACTTAAGTATTGTTTTTTGTAAGTATTGTACTTCGCTACATTTTTTATCTTATCCGTTACAGAGTAAAAAAAAACAACATTGCAAAATACTGTGTCGGCACGGTTCGCACTGGATTCAGACTCAGACGCCACAGAGAAGAGACGAGAGTATAAACATATACATATATAGAAGTGTCTTAATGCACTCGAGAGTGATCCAGCGCTTAATGAAGTGTCTATGTATATATATGTCTATACTGGTAAGACCGAAACACGGAAGTGCTGCGGACGCTGAAGGAGCGCACCAGAAGAACTGAGTGCTTAAGTTACGAGAGTGTTACGGGGTACGAAGGAAAGGATAAGAAACACTAACTGACTATTCAGATGACTGGAGGATCACCTAAGATCAAAGCTTGTGAGAAGGAATGAAGGGATGTCTGAGCGGTCAACAGGTGAGTTGAACTTCTTAGTGTGAAGCATGTGTTCAGTGACCTTACAGTGCACTTAACTGTGATCCTACCCAGTGGTGGGTAGGAGAAGAAAATAGGCGCTATTGGTACGAGAAAGATAGCCTGGCCTGCCAGACTCCTGTTTAATTCACGTCATACACGGCGATGCTCAATTTCTCATAAACAACAAAGACAGCGGCGGAGTTCGCTGCGGCTCTTTCCTCTGTTCTAAATGACTCAGATGTCTTTAAAACCACAAGAAGAAGCGCTAAAAGCATTTCTTCTAAAAAATAAAAGATGTTTGTGCCATTGCCAGATGCAATTTTTTTTACTACAACTAGAAATCTACCGCGTCGTGTGGTACAGTCGGGATTTCCTTCTTTTTTCTGATTGGTCATTTTTGAGCTTCTTAGTCCCGCCCCTCAAGTGATCTTCCAGCTAAAAGAAAAACTCAGCAGACTGGAGACTGTCTCCAAGACGTGTCTGCCACTCTTCAGAGCCATTCAGGATGGTGTCCAAAAGCACTTTGGTGAGATGATGGAAGACCCTGAGCTGACTGCTGCTGCAATCCTCCTTCCAAAGTTCAAGACCACCTGGACTGAGAGGCACGATATCATTGAAGCAGGTAATATTTTATAATTTAATATCATACCTTAATCTGTTTCTTATTCATTTCAATCCTGTCAACATACTTAAAGTTCAATTATACGAGTCTGTCGACACAAATTATAGTATTTGTAAGGCATGTATTACTAAAAACAATTCTTGTTGCATCTTCTATCAAAACTTAATTACCATATATATATATATATATATATATATATATTTTTTTTTTTTTTTACCGTGTCCTGTCTGGCTGTGAAGCAAGCATTTGCTTTCAATGTCACGCCTGATACTTAAAACTTTATTGTTATTGTTGTTGAATGCTTGGTAATTCCGACCAGACACGGAGACAGAGGTGAAAGAGAAAGGAAAAGAAAAGGTGGGGAGAGAGAGAGAGAGAGGGGGGGGGGGGGGTCCACAAAAAATAAACAATGAACAAGAGTCTGCTTCTAGACCTGCAGAAAAAGACAAAAAAGCAAAAGGACAAAAAAAGGGACACAACAACAGTACAACAAGATCTAGCTATCACTGCGTCAACTTGATGAAAAAATATATAATCAACATTGCTTAACTGAACAATCACACGATAATAAATCACAACGCATTAAGTGCCCACCATAGTCTTAAGACCTGTGTTTAACGTGCCCAAGCCCATACTTTGAGAGCACCATGTGAGCACCTGTGTGTGTACACGCGCTTGTTTATGTAAGGTTTCTCTATAGGAGCGTCCAACAGAGAGTGTGAGGGACCATAGATCCGCCCCCCAAAGATGTGTAGGAGATGGGGGGAGCTCCAAGTCCCAGAGATCCAGGCGCTGCCCCAGAACACAGGAACCCTAAGGAGACTGCAACCAGAAAGGCCCCCGCCCCCCTCGAGAGGCACAGGGGATTGCCCCGGGGGGCCACAACCAGCAGCCGGCAGAGTCCCGGGAGATATCAGCGGCAAGCCCACAGGCCCGCCCGCAGCCTCCCACCCCCTAGCCGGCCGAGCCCGGGACCCAGCAACCCGGGACCCAGGGGCGACCACCCCCGCCGGGGACCCAGCAGAGCCCAGGGACCCAGACCCCACCAGGCAGCCACCGGGATCTATCAGGCAGATGCCAAAATCTTAAACCCCCAGACCCGGTTGCCACGAACACTCAGGCAGACCAAGGCACAACCCCTCACACCAGGTGTGGCGGGGGAGGGGGGACAAAGATCTATATCATCAAGAGAAATTACAGGAGAGGGGAAGAGTCAAAAGCCCACCTGACATATACAGTCATACACAAACACAGTCACACACTCCCTCCCTCATGCTCACACATGCACATACAACCCAAGACTTACAAAAATGCACGCCGGACACCCACTCATGCTCCCCATACACACCCTATTCACTCTGGTCCCAGTACTGCTGCACATGGGGTACAACCATCACCGGTAACCAGAGTTTGACCCTTTCTGCTGGTGTGCTGATGAGCAGGCTCCCCCGCCCAACGCTGAGCACAGCAACCCACCACCCCAGACCCCAACCAGACGGCCAGATCTCCCTCCTAGCCTCCAGCCCCAGGAAGCCTAGCAACAACAGAGGTGGCAAAGACACCTAGTCTCCCTCTGCCTGCTCCAATATAGTGTTGTGTAATCATGAGCCCGGGTTCGGGGGCCTCAGGTAGACCTTGGCTCCTCTGCCGTTCCATCACAGGGGAGCGGGAGGTCCAGGAGGGGGAGGACCCAACCTTACCTGGATGTCCCATGTCTTATATATTATGGAAGTTGTGCAAATGCAGGGACGGGCATACATATTCTGCTGGGGTGGGGCTGGGTTGGTGCCCTCGGACTCCGTGAGGCTCTGTAATGCTGCTGCTTTGGGCCCTGGCAGGATGGGCTGGGGTCTCCATGCCCTGGGTGGCAGTTTGACAACAGAGGTGCCTATTGGGGCCAGTAGGGGAGCTGGCTCCCTGGAGGGCTAAGCCCAACCAGCCATTCCTCCCCATCCCCGCATATTTCTCTCCTCCTGCTCCCTCACATCATCACACAAACATACACATAGGACCTTGGGGGGTGGGCAAGTCAGGGAGTGCGGGTATGGACCCTATTTCCGCATTCCTGTGGCAACCTGCCCCCCAATTTTATTTGCACTTTATACGCTTCCACTGACGACATTCCACGCAAACACACACTTAGGGCCTTGGGAGTGAGCACATCCAACGGCATTTGGCAGGGGGATTTTTCAGCCTCCTCCCGGGTGCCAGTGCCCACTTCCAATTTTAAAGCGCACTTAGATACTGATGGCTGAAGGTGTGAGTGGGGTGGTGCGGTGGCATCAGCGGGCATAGGCCGGATGATGCCTGCACTGCCCACTCACCACAGCCATGGAATACACCTCATGATTACACAATTACCAGATATATTAAATATGTGTTATGTATTTGTCA